CATAAGCTGGCCAAACTTGGCCTCCAAAGCAGTCCTCAACTGGTGCTCCAGCGAAGGGCTTTGACAGTGGTCCGGGTTCAGGGTTTAGAGTTTAGGGTTTAGGGTTTAGGTGTTAGGATGTAGACTGAAAGTTTTTCTTACACAGACCATAGCGCCAAATTGAACCAAACGGTATGTTTTTCCATCGCTGTTGGGGTCTGTTGCTGAGATAATTTTGGTCGAGCCAAACATCAAGGACTCCCAGCACCCGGTCTGTGGACAAGGGCACGTTCTGCATGTTGCGGTGAGTCAGCGCCCACTCCAACAGCTCCGACTGAAGTCTCGGGAACTTCTTGTAGGTGTCGAAAGCGTGCCACTTATAGAAAATATCGTCAGGTCCCCAAGACATGTCGACCATGCTATACAAGAAGTCCTCTGCTTCAATCATGGGCGGCTCCCGCTGCAGAAACGCAACTGCATCCCCAGTCACGACAGCCTCGTCTGGGAGTTCTTCAGCGCCGGCAATAATCCCCTGCAGGAAAGCCGGAATTCCTGGGCTTTGAAGTAGTCGGGAAGGAAAACGGTATAAACTTTCGTTTCATATTAGTTCCTTTAAGGAACAGGTCGCGAAAAAATGTTAAATTCTGTTACTCCAGAACTCAGATTCCGAGGCGGGGCTCCAGGCACTGCTTCACCTGGGTTGCTTTTTTACGGTACGTGTTTTAAGTTAGCATTATGGGGATATATCGAAAATGATGAAGTTTCCTCATTATAAGAATAATATCTAAGTTGCTTAACAGCAACCCAGCCACTTGAGTAACTGTGTGCGGGGCTGGTACTTTGATCTGCACCACCTGGCCCGACAGCATTTCAACAGTCAGCTGTTTCCCTTCGCTGGTCTCTCCAGTCTCAGGGGCCTCGTCCTGTCTTGGAAGCGCGATGGCTGGGATCTTCGCATCGTCTATGAAGTATACATCGTTTTTAAGTACCGTCTTCGTGTCTATTTCGATATCCAAGATCTGCTGCCAGTGTGGCGCAGCTTCTGCCCAGTTTCTTAAGGTGTCCCAGATGTAGTCCCGGGTGATGTCGCCTTCGGGTATGAAGCTGCTTCTTGCTGTCTCGCTCATGGCTCCAAGTAGAGGAGGAGCTCTGCCCTGATGCTGTGAGGCCGCCTGGTTTAGGGTTTAGGGTTTAGGGCTTAGGATCCGGTTTAGGGTGTTGGGTGTACGTCACTGCAAAAGGAGCCACTTGCTATTCTCTCTGAAGCTTTTGGCAGCTTGACAGAAAACCTCGCTGGGAAAGCCTGTCTGTTTGTCTGCACTTTGCCTTCGGATTTCTCGTCGGCACTTTCTTGATACAGGCGTGAGGTCATGGAACGGTTTAGTTAAGGGCTTCCGGGCTCCATCACAAGGAAAGACATCATGGCTTTTGCGACCGGGGTTCTTACGCACGCTGAAGCATCGGGCAATGGCTTTGCGAGGCAAAAGGGCGAATTAACTGAACTTATGTAGGAACCTGATTAAGAAACCTTGATCCTATAATCGCAAATTATTAGGGTTCATATAAGGAACCCTAGTCAAGACCCAAAATTTCTTGATGAGGTTTCTATATCAAACCAAAATCTAACTCCGTAGCTCACAGAGAACTTGAAGCCTTGAGATGATCCCTAAACCCTAAACCCTAAACCCTAAACCCTAAACCCTAAACCCTAAACCGATCCGACATGGAACTCCCAGCCCTGCAAACCATCAGCATTGTTTGACTTACTTGTCCAGTATCCTCGGGGAACTGAAGGATGGCCATTGGGGTTTAGGGTTTAGGGTTTTTGTTTGAACGCCTTTAGGGTTTAGGGTTTAGGGTTTGGGTTTAGGGTTTAGGGTTTAGGGTTTAGGGTTTAGGGTTTAGGGTTTAGGGTTTAGGGTTTAGGGTTTGGGATTCGTGCCCTCGGGACCGCGGATACTTTCAGTGGGCGTGAGGGACATGAACTGCCGACACCCCTTTGAAAAACACTGGGGACCTTCGGTGTCAGGGTGCTGGGCCCGGGTCAATGGCAGAATGATGTCTACTCCTAAACCCTAAGCCCTACATAAACTGGCAGAATGATTGCTACTCCTAAACCCTAAGCCCTAAACCCTAAACCCTAAACCCTAAACCCTAAACCCTAAACTACTGCTGTTCCAGAAACTCCTCCAACCCGGACCCGTGCCTACCGGATGTTGGAGCTTGTGGTTTGTACTTGGAGGTTCATGGGTAGTTATAAGTGGGGCTGTAAGTCCCCTAATATGGGTTATAAGTATAGTTACCCTACTTATAACCCCACTTATAACTACCCATGAACCTCCAAGTACTTGCTGCAGAGACTTCAAAGCCACTCAAAGAAATCCACCCTAAGCCTTCGCGCAGCCTAAGGACCCCTCGGTTTAGTGTTTAGGGTTTAGGGTTTAGGGTTTAGGGTTTAGGGTTTAGGGTTTAGGGTTTAGGGTTATGATGGCTATAACTCCTGATCACGTGGGTTTTGGAGTCTCTGGGCGACTGTCGTATATGACTTCTGTAGTTCGCTTCTGGAAAATCTTACTACATGGCATCCTCTCAACACCAACCAAGGAGAATGCAGGACCTAGCTAGGTCTTCGTCCTCTCGCCGTGGGTGTAGGGCCAGGGTTGAGGGGCTTCGGCTCTGGGCTTGGGATTTCAGGTCGATATCTGTCTATTCTTCTGCAGTCCGGTCTGGCCTTAGGGCGAAGGGGTCTGTTTCTCTATCGGTCTTTCTGTATATTTCTTGTTAAGTCCAGATACTTGAATATGCAGCATACCAACACAAATGCAGCTGCCAACAAGCTGAAACCAACAAAACCAACACACATCAATACATGGAAACAGAACAAGCAACAATAACAACACGCATCAACAAACGAACACATACCAGGCCACGAAAAGCCAGCACAACAAACGAAAGTAAAACACATATGCACACCTGTAGATGTACATATGTGTTTACTGACCTGAACCGTAAGTCGTTCGGGCGTGAGATGGGTCCTCTTCAAATCCCGAACTCTTTGTCGGAGCACACTGGTTTATATAGGGGTTTAGGTTTAGGGTTTAGGGTTCGGAGTTTCGGGTTTAGGGGTTTAGGGTTTAGGATGTAGCTATACACTAAACCCTAAACCCTAAACCCTCTGTGAAACCGAAAGTCACGCCCAAACAAAAAAAAACATTTCGACTGATGTAGAGGCCTTACTATGATAATGCTTTCTGCAAAAGGGTTTAGGACGTTTAGGCTATATAGTCGCCCTACTGATTAGAATAGGCTATGAGGATGTATTATCACATGATTATAGCCAGGAGCTGTCAGGCCTAGTTCAGACCCCAATGTTAAAGACCTGTCAGACGTATAGTCTACCACGCTTGAAACTGGGCCGTAGGGCTTTGTACATAACTCACATTTGCGAAGCACTTATGTTGAAGAACACCGGCACAAGACACCCTCCAACCGGGGGAAAGACCCCATCAATGTCCGAATTTGTTGGCAGCAGCATGTGCAAAGACTGCGTAATCTTCTCGGAGGCTGTAACGCCTCAAAGCCGTTGACAACTGACATATATGAGTTGCAGGATCGATTGACAGTTGGAGTAACAAAAGGTCCCAAAGAATGATCAGTGTCACTAACTGTTGCTAACTACTACTACGATTACGAGCCCCTCAAACCCAGCCACTCTTCCGCCAGCCAGCAAAACTCCCCTAAACCCGAAGCCTTAGAGACCCTTAACCCAAGACTTTTTACACTTGACTAGGCCTCTTCCGCTCCCATCCGCGCCGGCACGTGCCACTGCCGCCTGCTGGTCAAAATCGAACTTCGGGTTTAGGGTTTAGGATTTACAGCAGAGGGTTTAGGGTTTAGGGTCTCATTAACATAAAGGGGGTCCGGGATGATTCATGTATAACTGCATTCAACTATTCAGGCACCGATAGTCCCAAATACCCCCTGACAGAGGTACTCTTTCGCCTGCTATTCATTCAGTCTGGGAGACACCTAGGAATATTAGTAGAAGCCAGAAAGCTGGAACATTAGTATCCTCATGCGCTTAAGATAAAGTATAAGGGATCCTGCAGCAGCACTAATCCTTCTAAGCCCATGTGCCAACTTTCTGGGATTCCCTATAAGGGTACTACCGTTACTACTGACCTAAACCCTAAACCCTAAACCCCGAACCCCAAACCCTAAACTCCAAACCCCAAACCCTAACGGGCCCGAAGATGCCTGAAGGGTTGTGCACACTTCCACACCCTGAGCCTCAAACTACAAAACACCACGCGTGGCGCGCCAAACCCCAAACTACAAAAACCCTAAGCCGCAAGTCCCAAATCCCAAACCCTGGGGATTTACGGTTCAGGGCTAAAGGGTTTAGGGTTTAGGGGTTTAGGGCTTAGGGCTTAGGGTTTAGGGATTAGGTATTGAGACTCTGAAATACAAGAACTGGTTGAACACTGAAAACACAAGAAGTATATCCCAGGTCACACCCTTTTTCAGCTCTGGGAACCAGGCGAGCATGTACAAGTCTACGCAAAACCCTAAACCCCGAACCCCCAAATTCTTGAACCCCATAGACCCTCCAAGCCCTATAAACCCTGTAGGTTCGCTGGACTCTGAAACATCCTCAAAACCCTAAGCCCGAAACCTTTCCTTGCCCTACGATCTGCCCCTGTGCAATCCGAACCCGAGAGCCCATAACCCCTTAACTAAGGAATATAGATCAAACCATAAACCCTAAACCCTAAACCCTAAACCCTATGAAGCTCCTTGAACTTAAGGTCTACTCTTATTTAAGTGTCACTGGGCTCTCTAAACCCTAAACCCTCCACCCTGTCTATTCCTTCACTAATGGCTACAGTAGACACTAAACCCTAAACCCGAAACGCTGTCTATTCCTCAATTAAAGGGTATTGGGCTTTCTGAGTCCGGACCTGTGAGGCTGCATCATGCACCGACTTGAGCAACCTGGTAGGAGCTCCAGAGGATGTTTGTCAAGGGATCCCTAGAGGATACTTTGGGTTTAGGGTTTAGGGGTTCAGGGTTTAGGGCTTGGGGGGTTTAGGGTTTAGGGCTTAGGGGTTTAGGGGTGAGGGTTCAGGGTTTAGTGCTTAGGGGGTTTAGGGTTTAGGGTTTAGAGCTTTAGGGTTTAGGGTTCAGGGTGTAGGACTTTTTCGCCCAGGGTTCAGGGTTTAGGGTTTAGGGTTAAGGGTTAAGGGTTCAGGGTTTAGGGTTTAGGGCTTAGGGGGTGAGGGGTTTAGCGTTTAGGGTTTAGGGCTTTGGGTTTGGGGTTCTTCTGGAAAATCATTAGAATACTTAGGGCTCTGCTAAGGGTAGCACGACAGGAGTTTATAAAGGGTTTAAGGGCTTTTGTGAAATTTAGTACAGGGGCCTGAATGTTTAGATCTGTGTTTGGGGGGGCATGTTATTGTATAGCGACAAATACGAGACCGTAAAGATTAGTGAATATTACCGGTAGTTGTTCCAACCCCGATGCTAGGGCTTTTTGGGTATCTTCTGAGGTTCTTCTAGGTTCTTGACTCCTGTTTCAGGTTCCGACAGGGCTCATGGGAGGGTCTCAGAAGGGGTTGTTCAGGGCTTTTGTAAGGGGTTGAACTTAAATTCAGGGACCTTGGGCGCCCTTTTCAGGCTCCCGGCCTCAACTTAAGGACTACTCCGGATTCTTGATTCTCTAGGATCGATTTTCAGGTGCTTCGGTGCCCCCTAGCAGTTTAGGGGGCGTGGGTTTCGGGCTTAAGGTGCAGGGGTTCAAGGTTTTCTGTGGACGTTCTGGGTGTCTGAACCAATGATCCATCCGGGCCCTCAGGCGATCCGAGAGATCCGTCACCCGAAACACGAGACCCAGTTTCCCGCTAAGGGTTAAAACATGTCATGATAACAAGGGTTTAGGGCTTAATTAGTTACTGTAGCTATACTCCTCCATGGCAGCATCACTGAGGAACTTTGACAAGAACCCATCCAACATCTTTTGAGCTTGTTTCGGCAAAGGGCTGCTTGCCCACTCGTTCCGCCACAGCTTCGCCCTGCATGGACTCTACGTCCACCTCATCCCCGACATCCGAAACCACCGGGAACAAAT